GGAATCCGGCCTCCGCCGTCGCCTGTCTCCAGCTCGGCCGTCCGAGGGTCTCCGTCTCGTCTGTCGCCGGCCTCCAGCTCGGCCGCCCGTGGATCTCCGTCTCGTCTGTCGGGGCGCCAGGCCATTCAGCCTCCAGGCCGTCCTCCGGAGCAGCCCTGCCTACCTGTGGAGTATATGTTTTTGTTCGCCTTGCTGACAGGCTCCCAGGCTGTCCTCTGGACCTTTTGGTTTTTCTCCCCCTATAGACTTCGGATTATCTGCCAGACTGTTCTGGACACCTTTTGTTTGTTTGTTTGTTTGTTGTTTTTTTTTTTGCACTGTACCTGCCTGTCGGCCTGATCTGTGTCTGCTCCTGGGTTCCCCGATTGCCCCCCGTGACACGTTACTGCAAGAAACCCTGCAATTACAATTTTTTGATATATTTAAAATAAATCATGCCTTTATAAAATGCACGAGAAGGAAGGTTGCAACCACATTCCCAAATCTGAAACCAGTGGATGTATGTTAAACAATGTAATGTCTATAGTTTTTACCCTCTGTGTTTAATACATTGTGTTTCTCCAAGTTGGTACTGTGTGCAGTGTTGCATTGCATTTTGCTGACAGCATGGTTGCATTTCATAGTATACCCAGTAGGTTGTGCCATTGTATTTTTTATTAAAACTCCAACTTGTGCACTAAATGCTCTGACCTGTTGAGACACTTAAAGGTATTGACCTTTACATTTCTATGAACTGCTCCTCATTATGTTTGTGTTTATGTAACACAATGAGATATGAACAATCGATAAAGCATTATTTAGAATCATCAGCAACAAGCATAAGCAAGCAACACAAATGCACATTGGTACATACAGGAAGTAGTGATTTCTTGCCTTGCTGATTTTGCTATTAAGATAAATCCATTACATTCTAAAAAAAAAAATCACATTTTTGTCGGTCTTCTTTCAATTACTGCATTAAAAATCCATAAAATAGTACCACTGTGGCAGGAATTAAACACCACAATGAATATGAAGATGTACCCTGAATCAGATATACTAAGCGGAGCATGGGATAATAAAGATTTAATCTCTAATAGGAATAGGCAGTATAACAAAGTCACATAGCGACACATATTGTAGATGGAAGGCTTTCTACATTGTCAGAAACGCTGTGGCGCGATTCACACACCTTATCAAATCATTATATAAACGAGTAAAAGAATTAAAGGCTTGAAAATCTATAAGCAGAGCAACAAACATTTCGATGATTCATCCCCCAAATGTTTACATTGACTGCAGTTAGACTACTCGTGTACTCAGATTTGTGCTGTAACCTTGTGTTGTTCTGCAATTATTAGAAATCAATTTGTAAAGATAGAAAAATGTGAGGGGGGAAAAAACAAGTAGGGCATCTTAGAAAGAATCAATATTGCCATCCGGTGTGCCCTTTTATTATTCACTGAGTAGCAGGAAAATCCTCTAAAAAGGCTGCTTC